GCTATTGATACTAAATGTTTCTAATATGAAACCTTTGTTTTTTCAGGATATGTTTTGAGTCAGAATACGACAGTTTTAGATACGAGTGGTTTTATAGATGTCTACAATTCTAATCATGGTGAAAATAAACCGGAGTTAAAACATGATAAAGCCTGGCTTACTGTTAACTCGTCTGTTCATTTTATATTATACATGAAAGGTCAATCTACAGAATGTTATGAGGTAATCAATGATGTTACTATGAATCGTGAAAGGGGGTGGGGGTGGCTAGTAAGGGCCACAGAATTGTCAAAGGGGTACACGAGCAATTCATCACTAATTAGTATGAAGGGGTGTGTGGTGCAGAGTCCAGCCTTCCCCCCCACCCCCTTCACCACTACATTTCAAAGCTAAACCAAGACTTTTTTTAGCTAAGCTAATCAGTAATGTCACAGCTCTCTGTCGAAATTTGAGCCTTCAAATCCATGTGTGTCTAGAATTATCTGCGTTTGAAAGTTAAAATGACGACTCGTCTTTTCTCGAGACACTGCCATATATAGAAAAGACATCTATAGAAATAGAAAGTAAAATTCCTAGTTTGAGATATTTTCAAAGGAATTATGTGATTTTGGTACATTTCTAGTATTTCTGACTATTTACATACATTCAAGACTCAAATCAACTCCCCGCATCTGTTCCGTTCGTAATCTGTGTTTATTTTGTAGTGTCCAATGCAATACGTGGGAGAATTTAAAAGTACCAATGCCACGACTATTCTAGTCAACACCACATTTGGTACGAAAGTTACACTGGCCAGAATTCATCCGACACAACATGTCGAAGATATTTGCAGGTAAAAATTTTCTAGAATATTAAAAGAGAAATATGGTTAAGGGACCTGGGGTGCTTCCTTAAAGGAATTGTAATATATGTATTGTGATATGTGTATCAGGGACAGACATCTGATTGAAAATTAGAATGATGTAAATTGATGATATCAGTGTCCCTGATACACATAAGGAATTTAGAAAACCTCTTTACAATTTTGATTTTGATTTTGCTTAAAGCACATAAGAATTTCCTCCCAATTTATCCTAAGAATTGATATTATAATGAAGTTTTTATATTTTTAGTTTTGAGACGATGTTTAAAGAAGGTGGTGATTATTGGTTATTTTTAGATTATGATACATACAGAGACGGCTCTGTCTGTCATCTGACTCTGAGCAATGATCCACCCATTGCTGAAATGCGTAAGTTTTTTTTTAAACTCTGTATTAAAGAGGCATTCCGCTTTTGTTGTAAATTCATAAATTATACCTTACAATATTCATAAAATATGCTGTTAAGTAAAATTAATTAAAAACGGAGAGTACTAATTGTTAATTAAGCATATTGACCTAGTTCCGCTGATTGGCTTTTATAATGGCTCGTTAGTTAAAATCTTTAGAATACGTAGGAGACATATTTCTCTACAATTAGGTGTTTATTTTACTCAAATCCGTACAGTAAAGAATAACGAACTAAAAAATCTTACGTAATGTTTTTAAATATTTTTGGAGTTTAAAAATTAACGGCTCGATTTTTTTAGTTAAAACTTTCAGCTACGTTATGGGATACGTCATTTCTATACATTTTGGTTTATAGTTTCTCAATTTGGAGAAAAAACATTCTCCTTTGTTATCATTCCAATTAGTAAAGATATCAAATCCCTGGGTTATCACAGCAATAATATCAAGTTCCTGTGGAAGATCATGAGTTCTCCCAAAATGGACAGCCATTTTGTTTTTTGTAAAATCAAAATTTTTAGAAATTTTTCCACCACACGCCTCAGTGAAAAATACTCAATAAAATAAACTTACCATTACGACTAGAACATCACAACGTTTCTAAATATTCTCCTAGACACATTTCACTAATTCCAAATTCATTATAAACCACAAAAACTTCCAAGTTTTCACAATTTATAAAAACCGCGCTTGTTTTAGGGAATTCTTCTATGATGTAAATTTCCTACTAGAGTGAGACCATACCATTTCTTAATAAGGGGGTTATTGCATTCCTATAGCTGAATACTGTATAGTTTCAATAAGCACATGCATTATAAACACCCCCTATTACAAAGTGGTATGGTCCATGATCTAAAGTCACCCTAATGGACTTCCACTATCTAGTTTTTTCTATTTGAACCACAAGGGCTTGATATTCTCGCTATTAGATTACAGGGACTTGATATTCTCGCTGTGAGATTACAGGGGCTTGATATTCTGGCTGAGATCATATATGTTCGAAATGAAATGAATGGAGTTTTACATCCTACCTTTCAGCACCTAATCAGGCTATTGAAGACAGGCAATGTCATGCAGTGTTCAATGAGCGAAATTTAGCCAGGACTGCAGCATTAGCCTGCTCTTTTTTGATTTCCAACTGTCGATGGATCTTTAACGTGTACAGCCTGTAACACACTAGGGCCTCGGTTTATTGTCTCATCTGAACAACTATATGCTTTTCCATGTCAGGCCCTCTTACCTACATCACTGATAGGGGGTTGAAAATTCTGATTTTCTTGACCTATGCCAGGATTGAACCCTGGACCTTCATGTTAGAGAGCAAGCGTCTAACATCACTGACAGGGAGAAACCGGGTTGAAAAATCTGAGGGTAATATCTCAACCTATGCTAGGATTGAACCCTGGACCTTCGGGTTAGCGAGCAAACGTTTAACATCACTGATAGGGGGAAACTGGGTTGAAAAATCTGAAGGTATTATCTCGACCTATGCTAGGATTGAACCCTGGACTTTCAGGTTAGAGAGCAAGCGTCTAACATCACTGACAGGGGGTACAGGGTTGAAAAATCTGAAGGTATTATCTCGACCTATGCTAGGATTGAACCCTAGACTTTCAGGTTAGCATTTAATTCACTGAGCCACCGCGGCTCCCCAGATTATGTTCAACACAACAATGCTATTGTTTACTTGCTAAAAACAACAATAAGTTACTATTTTCACATTGTTTACATAATAACAAATCAACAATATTAGTAAACAATATAGTCCAGTATGGTGTACGATAATCCCCATTTTTTGACTGTTAATCCGTTTTAATCCTCTCACACCTCAAGGTCGTGACATTTGACCTTGACCTTGTGTTCCGTTTCATGTCTGACCTTCACCTGACATTTCAAAACCACATGTTATGTCCGATATGTTGCCTTGTTTGATCAGTGTCCCTGAGACACACACAAAGGCAAGAAAATATTTGTTAAATATGTCGATATAACACTATAATATTTAGAAATTTTAAAACAGAACCTGAAACATGTTGATACACAGAGTTTCACACTGTGATCTTTAGACAACTGACCTATTTCAGTCGGCGCCCCTACTACAGAGCGATATAGAAATATTAAAACAGAACCTGAAACATGTTGTTATTCAGAGTTTCACGCTGTGTGATCTACAGACAACTAAAACAGAACCTGAAACATGTTGTTACTCAGAGCTATGTAATGTTTCAGGTTCTGTTTAAAAGTTTGAAGGTTTCAGCCCACCTTCCCCTACCCCCCCCCGCCCCCCCCCCCCCCAACCATATTGCCCCTCCCCTCTCTCCCTGTCTATTTAAGTATGTCTATTGCTATTTTTCAGCTATCCTATATACACTGATAGGACTGTTTGTTCTAGCTGGTATCTGGACTCTGATTGGAAGAATTATAAAGTAAGAATTTCTCAAACGTAATGCAACACAACAAGTTTGATTTTGAGAATGAATGCAAAATTCTAAACCAGTCGTTCAGCTGTTGGAATGGAGTCATTTGCTTAGATAATCCCTGCCGATTGGAAGAGTTGGAGCAGGCATCATTATCTAATTCTGTGTCAAACTACGAAAAGATCCCTCAAGGATCGGTTCCCGTTTTTAATACGTTTTTCTTTGTGTATGATATAGCTGCGTTTCCTTTAGTACGGATCCGGTCCGGTTGCGGATACGGCAAAAATCACTTTCATCAAATAAGTAAGAGTGTTTCCTTATATACTGGTGCAGATACGGTTCCGTATGCGGCATTCGGTGCGGTTTTTCGAACCGGACCATGTAGCGATTGGTACGGAACCGTATGCAGAACCGTGTCCTGAAACGCACACATGGAAACACAGTTTGGGCAGCCTGCACGGCAAAAAGGAAACACAACCTGCCGTGTGCCGTGTCCGCACCCGGACCGGAGCCGCACCGAATCCGTACTAAAGAAAACGCAACCTAACCCTTTAATTTCAGACGAGGTAAAGAAGCGAATTTTTGTGGACAGAGTGCTAATATAACTGATCCCATTGACAACGCCAATTCTGTTGTAAGTAAAAAGCATTATTTAGTCATCGTGCTGTCGAATATATAAATAATATCAGATTTCAATATTTATTTTGAGGCGAAATTTAAACCAGTCGTGGCCAACCTACATAATTTTTGTTTCTAAAGATCTTAGATTCTGAAGAGTTGGAATAAAGTTTTCAGGTTTTGGATCCATCTGAATCGTGAAAAATTATACCTATTCCAAATAAACACCTTGCAGGGGAAACAGTCTACCGTGAAAAATCTGCAACATATCACGATAATGAATGTTAACCATAATTTACCGGTACTATGTCTAGATTGTCACACATAGGTTATAGTTTATAACCTTATTTGGGTTTAGACCATCGGCAAACCAAATTATTCTTGGCCCTTTTTGGCAAACTAAATTCTAGGCCATGGTTATTACCTTATTTGGATTTACACCATTGGCAAACCTAATTCAAGGTTCCAGATACTTTTTTGTTGCCCTTTGTCCTTTCAACATACTAGATTTTACGCCATGGTTGCCCAAATTTGGTAGAAAATTGAAAAAAACAAGTTCCTTTATAGTTTTACAAAAATTCATCGTTAATTTCTGTTTTTTACCCTAGGGTTTAGATAATATCACTAAAGATCCAGTAGAAGTTGAAAATGGACATGCTGGCGGGACAGAGAAACCGAAAGTAGAGAAGAAGAAGCAACGGCTCCGAAGCTTGGATACATTTCGAGGGTAAGATGGTTCTTTGAATATTTCCTGCCACAATCGGTTTAACTCAGAAACGCCACAAGATGCAATATGATTCTTGCGCCCTTTCCTGTTTTCGACAGCTCTTTATATATTTCACAGCTGTCTTAAGTTGTTATCCTTGTACAATCAATACCAAGAGGTTTGACCAAGGACCAGCTGGTAGAAAGGATCCTCGTGAACCTAAGTTGTTATCCTTGTAAAATCAATACCAAGAGGTTTGGTCAAGGACCAGCTGGTAGAAAGGATCCTTGTAAACCTAAGTTGTTATCCTTGTACAATCAATACCAAGAGGTTTGACCAAGGATCAGCTGGTAGAAAGGATCCTTGTGAACCTAAGTTGTTATCCTTGTAAAATCATTACCAAGAGGTTTGACCAAGAACCAGCTGGTAGAAAGGATCCTTGTGAACCTAAGTTATTATCCTTATAAAATCATTACCAAGAGGTTTGGCCAAGGACCAGCTGGTAGAAAGGATCCTTGTGAACCTAAGTTGTTATCCTTGTAAAATAAATATCTTTCTTTTCAGGTTATCTCTAGTAATAATGATATTTGTAAATTATGGCGGAGGCGGCTACTGGTTTTTTGAGCATCCACCATGGAATGGTTTGACTGTAGCTGATTTAGTCTTCCCTTGGTGAGTATTCAAATACCATAATACCTGACATGGAAAAACCATCTTGTTGTTCAGATGGGACAATAAACCGTGTGGCTGGCTGTAAACGTTAAAGATCCCTCGACATTTGGAAATTGAAAACGCGTCTTGTCGTTCAGATGGGACAATAAACCGAGGTCCCGTGTGCTACAGGCTGTACATGTTAAAGATCCCTCGACAGTTGGAAATTGAAAAAGTGTCTAGTTGTTCGGATGGGACAATAAACTGAGACTCTGTGTGCAACAGGCTGTACATGTTAAAGATCCCTCGACAGTTGGAAATCGAAAACGCGTCTTGTCGTTCAGATAGGATAATAAACCGAGGCCCCGTGTGCTACTGGCTGTACATGTTAAAGATCCCTTGACAATTGGAAATCGAAAACGCGTCTTGTCGTTCTGATGGGACAATAAACCGAGGCCTCGTGTGTTACAGACTGCAAATCATTCAAATCGTTGAACAGACTGAAATCGAAAAGCGTAGGCTAAAGCTAAAATTTCCTCACTGCACACTTGAGAGAACTTTGGGGACCTCTCGAACATTGGTTCCAATCTTTTCTATTCTTCATAGCCTGCCCTCTCTTATACATATACGCACACATGATAGTCCGAAACTGGAATAAAGGATCCTCGTGGTATTTTCTTTGTTTTCGTTTCTTTTTTGTGTTTGCAAATATTTTTATCCTACAGGTTCATCTTTATAATGGGGACGTCCATGAATTTTTCATTTAAAAGTTTGTACAAGAAAGAGAAAACTACCTTCCAGATATTATTCAAGATTTTTAAAAGATCTTTTATTCTATTCGCTATTGGTATAATTCTCAACACCAGCTGGGGACGTAAGTACAACGTTTTAAACCAATTTGTACAATAACCACAGACGTTTTAAACCAATTTGTACAATAACCACAGACGTTTTAAACCAGTTTGACGTTTTAGTGGAAGTACAATAACCACAGACATCTGATTGAAAATTAGAATGATGTAAATTGATGCTATCAGTGTCCCTGATACACATAAAAAATTTAGAAAACCTCTTTACAATCTCTTTAACAAGAACTACAGACGTCTGATTGAAAATTAGAATGGTGTAAATTGATGCTATCAGTGTCTCTGATACACATAAAAAATTTAGAAAACCTCTTTACAATCTCTTTAACAAGAACTACAGACGTCTGATTGAAAATTAGAATGATGTAAATTGATGCTATCAGTGTCCCTGATACACATAAAAAATTTAGAAACTCTCTTTACAATCCCTTTAAGAATTATAGCGTATTTACGTTGACAAAATAATTTTGAAATATGCCTCATGAAAGTGTCTGTCATAGATTATTTGTGTCTGTTTTTTCAGCGGTAGACCTGGAGACAATGAGAATACCTGGAGTTTTACAGAGGTTCGGTTTAACATATCTGTTCGTAGCTTTGATGGAATTTACTCTGGGTCGCAGGAAAGATTCACATGAGGTAAGGAGGCGACATTGCAAAATTAGAATAGTGTAAATTGATGCTATCAGTGTCCCTGATACAAATAGAAAGTCTAGAAAACCTCTTTACAATCCCTTTAAGACCAGAATATTACAATGTGAACTGTTTTATATTTTTAGGATGCTAAATGGGCCCCAGTGAGAGATATTGTACTCAATCTACCAATATGGATTTTAAATTTAGCTCTACTCGGTGTGTTCATTGGTTTAACTTACGGTTTACCAGTACCAGGTTGTCCCAAGTAAGATTCAGATTTTTATATTGGGCTACATGTGCTGTTATACAGTGGCGGCGCCAGCCTTCCGAGACTGGGGGTACAAATAGGGGGCAGACTGATTCAATGAGGGGGGCAACTGCTGAGGTTGAATTCAAATTTTGAATTTGGTGGTGTCAAAGTCGCAAGCCTCTCACAAAGTGTCATAGAGGGTTCTTTCAAGAAAATGAATTGATTTTGTGCATTCTGACACATATTTTGGAGAAAAAAGGGAGAATCAAACCTTCCTTCTCCCTGAAATACTAACCCAATCCTAAACTGGTTATATTCTAGAGGTTATACTGGACCAGGTGGTATCAGTGAAGATGGTCAATATAAGAACTGTACAGCAGGAGCAGCCCAATATATAGATCGACTGGTACTAGGTGAACATCATATCTACCAGTATCCTACTCCACAGGTAGGTTCATCTTCAACATCTTCAGTGTCTTTAGGAAGGTTCAGTTGATATATAGATAGACTGGTACTAGGAGAACATCATATCTACCAGTATCCTACTCCACAGGTAGGTTCATCTTCAACATCTTCAGTGTCTTTAGGAAGGTTCAGTTGATATATAGATAGACTGGTACTAGGAGAACATCATATCTACCAGTATCCTACTCCACAGGTAGGTTCATCTTCAACATCTTCAGTGTCTTTAGGAAGGTTCCGTTGATATATAGATAGACTGGTACTAGGAGAACATCATATCTACCAGTATCCTACTCCACAGGTAGGTTCATCTTCAACATCTTCAACATCTTCAGTGTCTTTAGGAAGGTTCAGTTGATATATAGATAGACTGGTACTAGGAGAACATCATATCTACCAGTATCCTACTCCACAGGTAGGTTCATCTTCAACATCTTCAGTGTCTTTAGGAAGGTTCAGTTGATATATAGATAGACTGGTACTAGGAGAACATCATATCTACCAGTATCCTACTCCACGGGTAGGTTCATCTTCAACATCTTCAGTGTCTTTAGGAAGGTTCAGTTGATATATAGATAGACTGGTACTAGGAGAACATCATATCTACCAGTATCCTACTCCACAGGTAGGTTCATCTTCAACATCTTCAGTGTCTTTAGGAAGGTTCAGTTGATATATAGATAGACTGGTACTAGGAGAACATCATATCTACCAGTATCCTACTCCACAGGTAGGTTCATCTTCAACATCTTCAACATCTTCAGTGTCTTTAGGAAGGTTCAGTTGATATATAGATAGACTGGTACTAGGAGAACATCATATCTACCAGTATCCTACTCCACAGGTAGGTTCATCTTCAACATCTTCAGTGTCTTTAGGAAGGTTCAGTTGATATATAGATAGACTGGTACTAGGGGAACATCATATCTACCAGTACCCTACTCCACAGGTAGGTTCATCTTCAACATCTTCAACATCTTCAGTGTCTTTAGGAAGGTTCAGTTGATATATAGATAGACTGGTACTAGGAGAACATCATATCTACCAGTATCCTACTCCACAGGTAGGTTCATCTTCAACATCTTCAGTGTCTTTAGGAAGGTTCAGTTGATATATAGATAGACTGGTACTAGGAGAACATCATATCTACCAGTACCCTACACTGCAAATGTAAGAATTAAACTTTGGTCTCACTAGCATTTTTGGTGTGTAAAAAATAAACGCCAGTTTGTGTAATTGGGTCATAGTAGAAATGTAAATATTATGGCGTGTTAACAGACTTTCTGTCGAAGTCTGGAAGTTTTTAAGAATAAGGTCCTGGAAGTTTATCTTTATCTTGCTCTGTTGTTAAAGTGTGTTTTGTAATGTTAACCGAGAGCTATTTTATTCCAGGAGATGTACCAGACTTCCATGCCCCACGATCCTGAAGGTATCCTTGGTGTACTGACATCTATATTTCTATGTTTTCTCGGACTAACGGTAAGAATTTCACTTTATCATTGTGTAACTCTTGGCATTTAAAGGAACAGGTGCTCCATTTTGGGATGTTGATTTTAGTCTTGAATATATGTAAATATCTACTAGAAATGTACGAAAATCGTGGATTTCCTTCAAAAAACACACATGGATTTGAAAGCTTAAATTTCGACCATGAGCTATGAACACTTTTACTGACTAGCTTAGCCAAAAAAAATTCCCGTTTGATTGATAAAAAAAATGGAGCACCTGTCCCTTTAGGTCGCTATTCATAATATTTGGTGGTTCATCTAGGCTACTGGCTACTTGTTGACCCCCTTTTAATTTTTAGTGGATTTTAGACCCCTTTTTTCACTGTACTCCTTTTGGTTCAGGTTCGTAGCCTATCGCCGTTGTGTTAAAGACACAGAATGTGAAATTTTCATCACCAAAAAGATCGTAAATCATACGTGAAAATTTATCTTTTACATTGTAGGCTGGTCGTATCATTATAACTTTTGAAAGTCATGTTGGTCGAATAGTTCGCTGGTTAATATGGGCCGCCATTACGGTACGTTGAAAATATTTTATTATTTTGTAACCGCTAGCGATAAAATGGTCATCTTCACATCTTCACAATGCTATTACGAACTTCGTCTTATACTTTGACTACAATAGCCACCTTTCTTGTATCACGGGATGCAGCGACTGGATTGAATGGAATGCTAGTGAATACAGCTAATCAGAGCCCTCGACAGAAAGACAAACATTCTGTCGAAGCCTCTGATTGGCTACATTACAATCTAATCAAATCGTGACACAAGAAAGGTTGCTATTGCAGTCAAGGTATAAGACGAAACTCGTAATAGCTTGACATTTTAACAATGACCGTAGATCAGATCATATTATTTTCAATAACATTATCAAAACTGGTCAAGGGCAGTAACTCAGTAAATATCATTTACTCACCAATGAAAACCTTTCTCAATGTTGTCTTTATATAATTACTCAAGTGATGCCTTGTTCAGGGGCAATAACTCTTCACAACTCCGCCCTGACAGGCTGTCATCGGCAATCTGTCTTCATCTGAAATAGCAAGAGTCAAACATTTACGTACTTCGTTGTTGTCCTCGATAATTTCGGTCTAACCAACAATAAAACTAAACAAAAGCAATTTGGGTCATTTGTCATCTTCACATTAGTCAAGGCATCACGTCTTCACCAAAATAGCCTTTTTTCTTGTTTTCACTGAAGTTAGTACATTCAGCAATTTGATTGGATAGTACCATAGCCAATACAGCCAATCAGAGCCCTTGACAAAAATATTGCAAAATATAATTACACATGAAATTGAGGGATCTGATTGGCTATATTCTCTGACATACCATCCAATCAAATCGCTGACTGTGAAACAAGGAAGTGGGCCAGAGTGACTATTGCAGTCAAGGTATAAGATGAGCCGTAATTCCTTGACCATTGTGAAGATGTGATACAAGGAAAGGTGATTATTGCAGTCAAGGCATAAAATGAAGACGTCATTCCTTGACCATTGTGAAGATGTGATACAAGGAAAGGTGATTATTGCAGTCAAGGTATAACATGAAGACGTAATTCCTTGACATTGTGAAGATGTGATACTAGAAAGGTGACTATTGCAGTCAAGGTATAAGATGAAGACGTAATTCCTTGACCATTGTCATAAATTAGCTTCGATAGCCATCAACTATGACACATGAAAGTAGCAATGATAACTTAATGTGACGTTTAACTTCCTGTTGGGGCAGTTTGGGGGTTGTGATTTAACCCCCCTCCTTCCCTCTTTAAAGGAACCAATTGCAATGCCATTGAAATAAAACAATTGAAATAATTTCAGGGTGGGATAGCAGCTTTATTGTGTAAAGGAAGTCAAAATGATGGCTGGGTTCCAGTAAATAAAAATCTCTGGTAAGTATCATTAAATTCAATAAATCCCCACCCCCCTCCTCCTCCCCACCCCCCAAAAAATGGATTGCCCCCTCATATAAAAAAATCTCGTCCAAAGAATGGTAAAATCTGAGAGTAAAAGTTGTATAGTAGTGGACTCCTCACAAGAGAAGTACTATCAGGTGTTAGCATGGTCTGCTTCACACACGACACCCGCCACTACAAATAATTCTCCACCAAAGAGAAGTACCATCAGGTGTTTCGAAAAGAGTAAGCATGGTCTGCTTCCCGCGCGACACCTGCCACTACAAATAATTCTCCACCAAAGAGAAGTACCATCAGGTGTTTCGTAAAGAGTAAGCATGATCTGCTTCCCGCGCGACACCCGCCACTACAAATAATTCTCCACCAAAGAGAAGTACCATCAGGTGTTTCGAAAAGAGTAAGCATGGTCTGCCCTCGCGCACAACATTAATAATTCTCCGCTCGTATTTCAGGTCTGTATCGTTCGTCATGGTAACAGCATGTTTTGCGTTTATCTTATTAACTATATTATATGTGTTTATGGATATTTTACAATGGTGGAAAGGCGGACCTTTTGTTTATCCAGGTAATAACTTAAAAAGATTGTAAAGAGGTTTTATAATTTTTTTTATTTGTATCAGTCCCATCCGAACAACTAGATGCTTTTTCCATGTCCGTCCCTCTTACCGGCATCACTGACAGGGGGGAACCAGGTTGAAAAATCGAAAGGTATTATTCTTACTTATGCCGGGATTGAATCCTGGACCTTCAGGTCAGAGAGCAAGCATGTAACTCACTGACAGGAGAAACTGGGTTGAAAAATCTGAAGGTAATATCTCGACCTATGCTGGGATTGAACCCTGGACCTCCAGGTTAGCGAGCAAGCATCCAACTCACTGACAGGGGGAAACTGGGTTGAAAAATCTGAAGGTAATATCTCGACCTATGCTAGGATTGAACCCTGGACCTTCAGGTTAGCAAGCAAGTGTCTAACTCACTGACAGGGAGAAACTGGGTTGAAAAATCTGAAGGTAATATCTCGACCTATTCTAGGATTGAACCCTGGACCTTCAGGTTAGCGAGCAAGCGTCTAACTCACTGACAGGGGGAAACTGGGTTGAAAAATCTGAAGGTATTATGTCAGGATTGAACACTGGACCTTCAGGTTAGTGAGTAAACGTCTAACTCACTGAGCCACCACGGCAATCAATATGTTTATGTATTTTTTTTATTGTAGGTATGAACTCTATAGTAATCTACGTGTGTCATGGCGTGTTCTGGAGAGAATTTCCTATCAACTGGCAAATTGAAGAGGTCCATTGGAAACTTTTACTTCAAGATATTTGGGGGACGGCAATTTGGGTCTTCGTGGCCTATTTAATGTATAGAAAAAGATTTTTTGTGGCTATCTAAAAGTTAAATTTGCAACTGTGGGGTATGTCATTACATCGAACTTACTCTCTAACTTGGGCTTGATTCATAAGGCCTACATTGTGGTTTTTAAGTTTGTTTTCGTTTCAAATTAGGAATCTGTAGGGATCGTAAAGAGGGACACTGATAGCATCAATTTATATCACTCTAATTTTCAATCAGACGTCTGTGGTTCTTGTTAAAGAGATTGTAAAGAGGTTTTGTATATTTTTTATGTGTATCAGGGACACTGATATCATCAATTTACACCATTCTAATTTTCAATCAGACGTCTGTGGTTCTTGTTAAAGAGATTGTAAAGAGGTTTTCTAAATTTTGTATGTGTATCAGAGACACTGATAGCATCAATTTACATCATTCTAATTTTCAATCAGACGTCTGTGGTTCTTGTTAAAGAGATTGTAAAGAGGTTTTCTAAATTTTGTATGTGTATCAGAGACACTGATAGCATCAATTTACATCATTCTAATTTTCAATCAGACGTCTGTGGTTCTTGTTAAAGAGATTGTAAAGAGGTTTTCTAAATTTTGTATGTGTATCAGAGACACTGATAGCATCAATTTACATCATTCTAATTTTCAATCAGACGTCTGTGGTTCTTGTTAAAGAGATTGTAAAGAGGTTTTCTAAATTTTGTATGTGTATCAGAGACACTGATAGCATCAATTTACACCATTCTAATTTTCAGTCAGATGTCTGTGGTTCCTGAAATTCCTCTAAAACTAAGTATTTGATGTAGTCACTAAAGAAAATTATAAAACCTCTTTACAATCTCTTTACTTTGTTGTATTTAGTTGAGGAAGTGCTGAATCTTTTGTATAAAAATTCTGTTAATATTGTGTATTTACCTGTTTTGTATATATATTTGTATATATTTGCATATATTTGCATATTTCTATTGGATATTATAATTTATGCATATACTGGTAATAAATAATTTGCATTTTCTTCATGAATATTCATAATATGAGGGCACGAAGCAACAAACACGAAGAAATGCAACTTGGCAGCAGTGACGTTTCTAGATAGCATTAGCGAAGAGGCTAGAGAATTGTCATGGGGACACCAGGCATTCAACAACTCAATATATAAAACTGACGAAGGGGCAGGGGGCAGGGGCGGCGGAGCATGAAACGTCACTGCTAAGTAGGGGTAGATGAATTTTTCGGGTGGACCATGAATCATACGAGCAGCTATTCAGAAATATTTGCAGTCGATTTCATCTATCAGAAGTTATTAATGTTTAAGATGTAGGTAAGAGTTGTACCATCAGAAGCTAGTTGATAGCTCATAGATGACAAGTTAACGTCCACTTCCAGCTATAACATGGCTAACCCATGCTTTCCTTAAGTTTGTCCAACAACCCAACGGAAGCTAAATATAGGTTAACATTCACTTCCAGTTAACTCATATCTCTGCCTAAGTTCGTACAACCAACCCAACGGATGTTGATAGTTGGTCAATGACAAGTTAACGTTCACTTCCATCTAAAACTAATATGGCTAACTCAAGCTTCCCTCAAGGATATAATGACTTTTTTTACATGCAAATTGGTCGTTACACAAATATACTCTAATTTTCGAAAATACCAAATGTGCACATGGACGTTCACTTCTAGCTGATATCTTTCATTATGTATATAATCACCTTTTTTTACATGCAAAATGGTCTTTACACAAATATATTAAGAACACAAGATATATAGATATACTATTTCTAGTTTTATTACATACTACATTTCGAAACACATACAGGTAACGTTATCAAGTTAACTTTATCATTTTTCTTGATAACGTTACCTGTAAGTACCTAGAAGTAGTATATCTATATAACTTGTGTTTTTAATGTTACCTGTATGTGTTTCTAAATGTAGTATGTAATAAACCTAGAAGTAGTATATCTATATATCTATATATCCATATAACTTGTGTTTTTAATGTTACCTGTATGTGTTTCTAAACCTAGTATGTAATAAACCTAGAAGTAGTATATCTATATAACTTGTGTTTTTAATGTTACCTGTATGTGTTTCTAAATGTAGTATGTAATAAACCTAGAAGTAGTATATCTATATATCTATATATCCATATAACTTGTGTTTTTAATGTTACCTGTATGTGTTTCTAAACGTAGTATGTAATAAACCTAGAAGTAGTATATCTATATAACTTGTGTTCTTAATGTTTACCTTCCTGCTTCTATATGTCTCACAAATATTACACAAATATATTTATCTAAATTTACGAAATTACAAAATGTGCACATGTCCGTCAGTCCTACCAAATAAACGGCACTAGTTTTGCGGTATTTTGAAGATATTGTTGGTAAGCTGGTAAATGTCCCCAACGTTTCAACGACGATTTTTCCAGTAAAGGAATCCCTGACACGTTAATCAACAAATAAGCCACAAACATAGGGGAAATAACTCCAACATGTTCGAATCCTTTTAAAACAGAAGTTGATGAAAGGTACAAACCGAGCCACATTAAGATCTCTCCAAAATAATTTGGATGACGTGAAATACTCCAGAGTCCAGTGTTAATAAATTTTCCCTGAAAAATATTTGGATTTGAATGTATAAGTTTAGTAGATCGTTTGAAAATTACGCAGAAAGTCCTTGAAGGTTATTGGATACGGTTAGGGCCTCTCACCCATTGAGTGACTAAAACACTTAGTTTTAGTGGAATTGCGGGAACCACAGACATCTGATTGAAAATTAGAATGGTGTAAATTGATGCTAACAGTGTCCCTGATACACATAAAAAAGGGAAATATTGCCAGGACAGCGGCATTAGCCTACTAGTTTTCAATTTCCAACTGTCGAGGGATCTTTAACGTGTACAGCCTGTAGCACACAGGGCCTCAGTTTATTGTCCCATCTGAACGACTAAACACAATAAACCGAGGCCCTGTGTGTTTCAGACTGTCAGATCCCTCTACAAATGGAAATCATAAGTTATTAGGCCAATGCCACTGTCCAAGTAAAATTTCCCTCATTGCACCCTGCATGGAGTTGCCTGTCTTCATTAGCCCACATGGTGCAGAAAAGTAGGGCGTAAAACTCCATTCATTTCATTTTCTAGTTTGTTACTGATATTACAGACATTAGGAAAATCTTGTCAAAAAAAACAAACTTACAGCGTTATCAGGGTTCGCTCTAAAAACAGATTTTTGATAATCACCAAGTGCCTCAAACAAAAAGCCAATAGCCCAGATCGTCCAGCCCATATAATCATTTGTTGTCAGTTTACGATCTTTCTGTTTACTGTTAACTATAAGAGTTGGTAAAAGAGTCACAAATACCCAAAGACCTGAAATAACAAGGTTCAAGTTTATCAAACATTATAAATATTTGCGATTTGTATCATTCCAATTTTAAGTCAGACGTCTGTGGTTCCTGCAATTCCACTAAAACTAAGTCAGAATTAAAGGGATTGTAAAGAGGTTTTCTCAATTCTTCATGTGTATCAGGAACACTGATAACATCAATTTACATCATTCCAATTTTCAGTCAGACGTCTGTGGTTCCTGTAATTCCACTAAAACGATGACGTCACTAATCGCAAAATATGCTTTACAATCTCTTTAACAAGAACCACAGACGTCTGATTGAAAATTAGAATGGTGTAAATTGATGTTATCAGTGTCCCTGATACAAATAAACAATTTAGAAAACCTCTTTACAATCTCTTTAAATAAGTGGAGTAACCAAGTCGAAATAGACTTTGGCGTCTACTTTAATCAACAAAAACAGGAAGGCGAAGTAAAAACTAAAAACAGGGCTATCCCACAACCTTGTAAGGTCTAATAAACTAGGAAGGCAGACAGTCTGTTAGAAAAACGACAGACGTCAGGGTGAGGGTTAAAAATTTTCTAATCTAGGAAGGCGGAGAATGTATCGAATGCGTGTTTGGCAGTGAAAGTAGAAAAAATATTTCGTTGTTTTTGTCCCAAGGGGAAAACCATAGAACCATGCCCCGCCCCCCTCCCCCTCCACTGCCAATTACCTTGTATGGTCCAATAAACTAGGAAAACAGAAGGTCTGTTTCTAACATTATTAAATCTTTTATCTTCTCCATCTTTCATAATCCTTGTCACCAAATATGTCCCTAATCTGCAAAAAAAAAAATGAACTAATTATGGGAACAAATGGCAGTGTCTCAAGAAAAGACGAGTCATCATTTAAACTTTCAAACGTAGATAATTCTAGACACACATGGATTTGAAGGCTCAAATTTTGACAGTGCGCTGTGAACACTATTACTGATTAGCTTAGCTAAAAAATTCCTGTTTCTGAGACTAAAATATGATTGATCAAAAAAATGGTGCATCTGTACCTTTAATGTTTGGACACCATGCTAAGGGATTAACCATGAGCAAAATCTATAGAACTCTGTCCCTTTTAACTTGCAGACTATGGCATTTTTAGATAGCTATGTCATTTTTTTCAAATTAAAGTGATACTACGTCTTAGAATGAACATAAAAGTCCTCAAGAATTGTCAGAATGAGTATATATTCATCAGTGAACTTACCTGGTGACATAAAGTTACAACAGAATCCCTGTCAAATCTAGAAAATTGGAAAATTCATAAAACTAAGTAATTATTGAAAAACGCTTAATCTTAATATTAAGCGTTTTTCAATAGTTAATTGCATATTTATGGATAATTACTAAGTTTTTTAGATTTATCAGATTATATAAGGATCATGTTATGTTATTTATGACACCAGGTATCTACTGGCTCTTATTGGCCAAGTTTAAAATTCTTAAATTTTTTGTTCATTCTAAGACGTAGTATCACTTTAAGCGATAACGTTCATACTTACCGGAATGCCCATGTTAAAACTAAACCAGTGTTAATTTTCTGTCGAAGAAAAAACTTGCCACCAGAACTTAAAGATTGGTAGGCTAACAGAGCAAACGTTCCACTACCTAAAAAATATAAACTCATTGAATTAATTGTTGTCTGGAAATAGAAAAATGTCGGAGTTATTTCCCTTGAAGTTGAAATTTTGTTATGAAACACGAGTCAAGTTCTAGAACTTTGGAGCTGGAATTTTGAGCTTGACAGTTGCGTCTAATTAATTATAAAGGGCACACGGCATCACTCTACGATTCTGTTGTCAACTGACATCTATACGAAGCCCCAGGGTATCAAAATAGGTCTGCAGTAACAAGGGAAAAAGGGCATGCAACTTGCAAGTAGGAGTAGGGCCTACCTCACCTGACCTGAGAACTCGCCTGCTCTTACCTGCCAGGTCGTAAAATTTCTCCGTTTTCAGAACTGCAGCGACAGCCCAACATGCCCACTGAATTCCAAAATCCAAAGCTGCAGACTTGACAAGCGTGTTCCCCATCATTACGGTTTCAAAACTATTCAAAACTTTCTTTCAATGAATCAACCGGTCATCCATTCACGTTGTCGTCTGTTTTCGTCTGCACGAGGGTTCAAAGTTCACTCCCGTACATTCTCGACTTTTTGAATATTATGGACGAAAATTAACTCTGAAAGGTCAAAGTTCACTTTTGTACAATCGTGACTTTTTGAATATTATCAACGAAAATTGACTCTAATGGTTCAAAGTTCACTTATGTACAATCTCGACTTTTTGAATATTATTAACGAAAATTAACTCTGAAAGTTCAAAGTTCACTTCAGTACAATCGAAAGTTTCTGAAAAGTTTGAGACTCTAAATTTTATGTCCATTCTAAGAGGTAGTATACCTTTAAAGTTATTATTATTTAGTTTAATAGATATATCATGTTATATAGAGATTCTATTCTTTAGTCATGACACCTGGTAAGTCTAACTGATGAATATATACTCTTATTGACCAAGTTTGAGATTTTAAATTTTATGTCCATTCTAAGAGGTAGTATCCCTTTAAAGTTATAATTATTTAGTTTAATAGATATATCGTGTTATATAGAGATTCTATTCTTTAGTCATGACACCTGGTAAGTCTAACTGATGAATATATACTCTTATTGACCAAGTTTGAGATTTTAAATTTTATGTCTATTCTAAGAGGTAGTATCCCTTTAAAGTTATAATTATTTAGTTTAATAGATATATTGTGTTATATAGAGATTCTATTCTTTAGTCATGACACCTGGTAAGTCTAACTGATGAATATATACTCTTATTGACCAAGTTTGAGATTTTAAATTTTATGTCTATTCTCAGAGGTAGTATCCCTTTAAAATCAAAAAACACAAAATTGTCCAAAATGGCGTTTCTGATTTCATTAGTCCGAATGATAACCATCCATTACAGGCCATTTATTTTGATTACTGGTGGAAAATAATTCGTCAAAATAATTTTAGTTATCAGATATAACTCACGCATCAGATTGTAGATATAATCACTTCTGGGAAAAAAACGGAAAATGGCAGAATTTTTCTATTTTCTGATAGTTATCACGTTAACGAATTAGATACTGATGAATAAAGCTTTTTTTCTTTGGTTATTTCTACGATTTTCTACGTCAGTGATTTTGGTTGGTAGGTTGACATGGAAAAAGTGTCTAGTCGTTCAGATGGGACAATAAACCGAGGCCCTGTGTGCCACAGGCTGTACACGTTAAAGATCCCTCAACAGTTGGAAATTGAAAAAGTGTCTTCAAAATTAAATGAAATGAATGGAGTTTTACGTTCTACTTTTCTGCACCATGTGGGCTAATGAAGACGGGCAACACCATGCAGTGTGCAATGAGAGAAATTTTGCCAGGACAAAAGCATTAGACTGCTCTTTTTCGATTTCCAACTGTCGAGGGATCTTTAACGTCATTTTTCTACAAGTAGCTTATTCCCCATTGTACACTGAAGGATGTCGCATCCAACTAGGTAATAGAGTTTCATTTTAATTCTTATTACAGGTAAACTTGAAAGTCAAAGGAACGAGTCCCTGCCGAATTCCATTTTATTTTCCCTCACTGGACATTGAATGGAGTTGTACATCATGTTAAAACTGGTGCAGTAAAGTAGGACGTAAAACCCAATCCTCAATACATCACAAGTCAAAACTTAAAATTATAGGAACGAGTCCCTCCCGACCTCCATTTTTCTTAAAGTAGCTATCTTTAATTGTGAAAACATGACAATATCGACCCATGGGGAGCTGATATCGACCCCTGGGGAGCTGATTTCTATTTAGATACGATGTACTTATTACGGTGGCGTTATTTACTAGAAAATTCAATTATAACTAAAAACCCATCATTTGGCAGTTCAATTCATCATACTTATCGACTTCTGACCAGAAAATACCACAATTAACCCACAATACTCAGAAATATTTACACAACATGGAAATTGTTAAAGGGATAGGTTCGCCGTTTTGGGGGGTGATTTGAGTCTTGAATATATGTAAATAGTCTTCAGAAATACTAGAAATGTACAAAAATCACATAATTCCTTCAAAAATATCTCAAACTAGAAATTTCACTTTCTATTTCTATAGATGTCTTTTCTATATATGACAGTGTCTCAAGAAAAGACGAGTCGTCATTTTAAATTTCAAATGCGGATAATTCTTGACACACATGGATTTGAAGGCGAAGGAGATGTCCGTCTGTCCGAACAAGTGCGGAAAAGTACGACGTAAAACGTCATGCCATTAATTCTATATCTATATTGTTAATGATATAACAGACGGAGAGCAAATTGAATCGTATAAATTTCATTTCGTTCACTTAAATAGCTGATCTAAATGACTTGAAAGGTGGAAATTGGGGAATAAATTTAGAAAATTGGAGTAATAGGTCTGATATATATTGGTCCAATTATCTCAATTATTGCCTATCTTATATCCAATTCGATATGACGAGTCATAAATTGCGTAGGGTCATTGTTATTATATACACGAGTTGTCATACTTTCAACGTCACCTCTGCGGACCGGAAATCGCCAAGACAACCGGAAGTAGTACCATTTGATTTGTGATCGGGATTATTTTCTTATTTTAGATGCTAATAATGTTGTTGGTTAAACCGCCCCGCTCTCGTTTCACATCTGATGTCGGTCAAATGAATTAAGTTGCTTAATTCTTCTTGAATTGTGCTTGAACAGGGTATCGGGTTTTAATTGTGAAAAGTATTACGGATGACTATCAGAAACCCATAAGCTTTAATCAAAATACCAAGAAAGTTCTC